AAGGAAATGGCACAGAGGTAAACATAGGGTTACCACTGTGGAGTATGACAAGTTTTATTTGGCAAATAAGAACCTCAGAGTTTCTTCCTGTGGTGGAATTGTCTACATAAATAGTTCTCAAACCTTTTCTATATTTTAATCAGTGAACTATTTTGATAGGTTGAACATAATTTTAGATACTTCCCTTCGTATGTGATGCTACACAGATATAATTATAATTCATACCCCCACAACACATGAAACACACACATATGACCAAGTATGATAGGGAAATAACGGTACCTTTAAATGCTATTCATCCATGCAGTTGACATAGATTGCATGGCTTCTATGTGCCAAGTACTATTCTAGTCACTGGGATAGATGCATGAAAATACCTACCTTCCATCCTTAGGAAGGTATTACTAGTTTATAAAGTCATAAAGACAAGTCACAATTTATTAAGGTAAAAAATCTTGTTAAACAGGTGCGGAGAAAAATGCAATAGAATTACCTAGAATCGAAGTATTCACCCTACGCAGAATGAAAGGAAACTTCACAGAAAAACTAACAAAGGAACAGGATTTTGCCAAAGAAGAAGGAAAGGTCTGGAATTAATAAATTTCAAGTCATTCTAAAAAATAAATATTATAGAAACACCATGAAAAATTTTCCTGAATACAGTACACATACTACATAAAAGACCTTTCTGAATGATTAGCCATCCTTGAGACATTATTTTTAAAATTTCTGCCCTTGAGAAAATAGATCATTTCTACCATAGTTTCTGTAGTTCCTAATTCACTAGCAGCGTTATTCCATTAGTTACATTCATTCTTTCATGTCCCTTCAAATTATGTTCTAGGAGTTTTAGACCAGTGACTTCGTATATTACCTAGTTTTTGATGGGATATAGTAACTTTTTCTTACAATTTTGAGAATAAGTGTTTTAAATTCTCTACTGTTTTTTCTCTCTTGGGTACCTGTAGAGACATATTTTTCATCCAATGTATTTTACATTTCACTCATTTCCTGATACCACTTAATGTGCTCTACTGAACTACTCTTTATGTCAAGAGCCTCTGTTTTGACCTACATTTCTGCAGTATTAAAGTTAAAAGGTGATCCTGGATGAGATAACATTCTAGAATTGTTTAAAAGACCTTAATAAGAAGAATCAGAAGTGTTGAGGCTGAGCTTGGTACAACTCCATCTGGGCTGGACTATTAATATCCCTCACTTGGGTGTAATTGTTGATTGATTACCTAAAACCTTGGGAAAGGTACTGTGGCAAAGATGCTGCTATGCGTTTACTAATGCATTTCTTCCTGTTGGACTCATAGAGAGTGTTGGCTTCCCAGGCTCCCCTGGGGTTGACTGGGCCCCTGAGGCTGAGTTCTGGCTATCTGGGTGGAAGTGGTGTAGGCCACTGTACTCCCCTCAACCCTCTGATTCTCCTTTTCCTGCCATAGCTCCCAGAGACTACACATGGTGTGTGTATTTAATGTGGGAGGACTAGTCAATGTAGATCAGGCTTCATATAAATGAGAAATGAATGTTTGTGTTGATTGCTTTTGACCTGTTATAGTGTTTGTTGCCAGAGCAGAGCCTATTTTCTCCTTTCTGGTACAGTTAGGTGATTGTCTTATTGGAACCATAGGGTTAGATCATGGTACGTGAAGATGAGGTCAGATCATGGTACATGAACTTTGTACCCAAAGTTCACAGTTTCTTCTAAAGGAAATGGTGATCCCAGAATCAGTCATCTTGGGAAATGATCAGGCCTAGAGTAACAAATAAGGATTTTGTAAGCAACTTGGGAGAGAGAACATTTTCCTTCTCTTTGGGGCCAGAGGTCTAAGGCAGGGAGATTCCTGAGCCATTTCTAACATTGGGATGAATGTAAGGGATGGAGAGTACATAAGCAGAAAGTCTCCATCTGGGCAGGAGAGAGGGAGAGAACCAGAAGATAGGCTCGTGCCTGACTAATAACTGTAAAGTTTACTCAGTGTTGCATTTCTCTTCCATTTTCCTCAACTCTTCAATAAAGTCTATTTTGAAGTACAGCTTGGTTTCTGCTGTGCTGCTGGAAATCCGGGAAAGACTTGCCCTTGCTTCTAACACACCAATAAATGAGGCAGCAGTGTCCCTATCCCCGGAGGTTACCAGTAAAGAACCAGCAGGCCCAGCTGAACGTCAGAGAACAGGGAGTAGGAAGAAGAGATTATAGGGCAGCACTATAGTTGATTTGGTATCCTTCTTTTCTGTCTGAAACATAAGTAAAATTAAGATGCTAAGGACCAGAAATACTCTGTTACTGACCTACCTTTCTGATTTCAGTGATTTTCAAGCTGCAATTTCATGGTGCAATTTTCCACAAAGGTTACTCAATAGAAAGAATATCACTCTGTCAGCCTTGTTATTATCAGCTCCTGCACTGTAACAGTGAGGATGTTACATTATGTTGCAGTAACAAACAGCCTGAGAATCTATGTGGTATAAAACAAGAAGAGTTTATTTCTAGTTTATTCTACCTGACCACTGCAGGTCAGCTGTGGTCTCTGCTCAGTCATCCTCTTTCTTGGATTCAGGCTGAGGGGGACACCATCTGAAATGTGCCCAGTTACTGTGGCAGAAAGAGAACACAGAAAAGCTTGTCTGTGTTACTGTCTGCCCAGTTACTGTGGCAGAGAGAAAGAGAACACAGCAAAGCACTGGCCCTTAAAACTTTCACCCAGGATGCCAGGCGCGGTGGCTCAAGCCTGTAATCCCAGCACTTTGGGAGGCCGAGGTGGGTGGATCACGAGGTCAAGAGATCGAGACCATCTTGGTCAACATGGTGAAACCCCATCTCTACTAAAAATACAAAACAGTATCTGGGCATGGTGGCACATGCCTGTAATCCCAGCTACTCAGGAGGTTGAGGCAGGAGAATTGCCTGAACCCAGGAGGCAGATGTTGCGGTGAGCCGAGATCGCGCCATTGCACTCCAGCCTGGGTAACAAGAGTGAAACTCCATCTCAAAAAAAAAAACCAAAAAACAAAAAACTTCCACCCAGGAGTGATACATGCGACTTCTACTTAACCCAAAACAAGTTTCACACATGGGGAAGGGCAAGGCAGAGTTAGTCTGTTGATTCCTGCACACAGAACACATTTCCCTTGAGTCCCTTGTTGAAAGTATGTTGTTTTAATTCAATATACTATTACCAAATTTAAAATGAAGTGAGCATGCCATCAGCATTCCTGACAAGATAAATTCTGTAAGGAGAGTGTAGTTATAGGTAGGAAAGATGAGGAGAGACAAAAGAAGAAATGAAGAATGGCTGATGAGTGACATATAAGAAGAAAATAAAGAAGAGAAATGAAGGAGAGAGGGAGAAGACTGACTGAGCATTGCCCATCCTCACCCTGAATGGCTTTGTTACCATTTTTATGCTTCTCTGAGTCCCCACTGTTGCTCATTTCTTTAGGACCTATTTCATTGAAAAAAGAGAAACCTCCAGGAAAGAGGAAGCAGAAAAGTAGAAAGAGGTTAAGTCATGCACATCAATTGGGGCCATCAAAGAAAAGCGACTGCAGGAAAGGAACAAGGATCAATGAGGAGGGAAGGAAAATGGAACCCGCTCATGGAGAGTCTAAAATTAAAAAACTTCTTAAGCTTGGGAAGATGCCGCAGCAACATGAAACAGTGAGTTTGTTGTTCCAGCCTTTGAAATATCAGATTTCCCCCTCACTGCATTCTGCCTGATGAAGTTTGCAAAGTTCACAGTCTTAAGATTTTTATGTGTGTCCCAGAATAACTACACTGGGGACTTTACATCTTGGCATGTGTGCTGGATAGACTGCATTGAAATGGGGCCAGCAGGTCAAGCCCTGTAGTCTGCCTCTTACCGCCCATCTTTAGACATGTTGAGTCTTACCAGCTCCACACAACCACAGCTCTGGAGGATATGTCAGGCCTGCTGGGTAGAGGTAGCATAACTGTATTCCAGAGAAAACTTACTTTGGCCTTTGAGAAACCACTTTTCTTTTTTAAATGTCTTTACAGCTCCACAAGCCTGGTGCTAAATGTATCATTTTAATATAACCTGAGATGTTTTCAGTAGCTCTTTGCTAGTGGAAACTAACAGGCATCTCTATTAAATTTCAGAATATTTTTGCATAAAAACTGTGAAATTGTTTTTGAACTTCAGTGCAAGAGAGCTGAGTCATCTGCAGCGATGGTGCCTGCCAGGGAAAAGTAGCAAGCTGCTCTCCAAGGTGCTGCTTAGATCTTGCTATGGCAGTGGTTGTTACTCATACCGTAGAGCCTCTATTTATCATTTTTTTCGTGACTTGATTGTAAAACTGTTCAAAATATTTTATAGCTTTCTAAAGAGGGAGCATCAGTACTACTAGGCAACTTAAAGCACAGTCAATAGCTTAAGTTTTCTCTCAGTGTTCTGGTATTTCTCCTTTTTCTGAAATGAATACTTCTCTTTTCTTCCTCACCCTACAAATATATGATTTCCTCAGAAGCTGTCATATTTTACCCATGGCTACCACCTGCCTAATAAATGTGAAAAAAGGGCTTAGCTCCATGAGTGCCCAGTTTGGAAAACCCAATGTCAGAGAGAGACAAAGGGAATCCCTTCCTCTGGGAAGGTCCCTACTCCATGCTGCATGGTGTGGTGAGCAGATAACAGGCTTGGTTTCAATCTTTACATGCCCTCCTCCTGGGCATCTTTGAAAATTGCACAAATTGCCCAACTATACCTGTCATCTCTTACACGGTCTTACATGATGTATCTCCTTAACTACATTTGATTGGCACAGGGTGGCTTCTTATATAAGCCAGGCCAGTCAGAGCCCTTTTGTATAATTATTTCCAACTAGACCAAGAAAGTCAGACCCTTTCCAGTTGGTGGAAGCCAAAAAGATAAAGATGAATACATGAGCTATTGGTGACTGAGATTCCTACCATTTGAAAAAAAGCCATCTGTAATGAGAAAAAAAATGAAACCAACATACACAAAAAAGCGAAAGCAAGAAATGGTCAGAATTTAGTCAGCACTGGTGTTTCTGATTTCAGTGGTGGCTGAGACTAGCAGCAACCTTGCTCTTCTGGCAGGTGAGCATTTCGATTGTTCATCCTTCCTTTGGATACCATCACGGCAACTTGAAAGTCATGAAAAAATGCAGAACACTTGGAAGAGACAACCATGGATTATTGCAGTCAGCGCTTCCCAATGTGGCTTTACCTTGCACAGATGAAACTCATGAGCAGCTCAAGCAGAGAGGAGATAACTACAACCCAGGTATGGCTTCAGTTAAATGCTTAAATGAGAGAGACGTGTGCTTGTTAAATGATTAAGAGCCAGCAATTCCCCATATCTAGAAGTATGACCTTATGTAACTCTCTAGACTTTACTATCTACATCTGTAAAATGAGAATTTTAATAGTTCCTATTTCATAGGTCTGTTGAGGGGATTAAATGAAATGCATGTAAGCATTTAAGACAGTGCCTGACACCTAGTCTTCAATAACTGTTAGGTCTAATATTTATTAGTTTATTATTTCCAGTGTCATAATGGTGCCTGACACAGAATAGGCACTAGTAAGTGTTACAGCACACATACCAATCTAATTTTAGCCCTAACTTCATAGCTCACATTCCATCATCTTAGGTAAGTAATTTTATTCCTTTGAACCTGTATCTTCTTCTGTAAATCAGAATAACAGTAATTTTTGACACATTAATTGAAAGATAACATGAGGTAATCTATATGAACAAATTTCATGTACTGTAAAAGTCTACTCAACTATAAAAGACAAAAGATTAGTTTGCATCTAAGTTGTTTCTTTTCAAAAGTGCCAAGATATCAACATTTTAATAGCTAAAAAAGAAATGAAAAATTTAAAACTGTCTTTCCTCTATTGAATGTAACAGGTCTATATATCCTAAAAATGGAGACTTTTTTCTACTTTGGAATCAGTAAAACGATTTTCCTTTTGATTTTAAAAATGTGTCATTTAAACATTCTTATTTTTTTCCTGCATTAGCCCTCATAGAAATATTTTGCTTAGCCCTTATGAAGTCTGAGAATTTTGATCTTACTCTAAGGCTATCCTGGGAAAACAGCAATTTAAAAATTACCAATACTGGGTGAGGCAATTTAGCAAAACCCTATCAAAGCTTTTTAAAAAATTAGGCATGGTAGAATGCACCTGTGGTCCTAGCTACTCAGGGTGCTGAGGCAGGAAAATTGCTTGAGCCAGGAGTTCAAGGCCATAGTGAGCTGTGATCGCACCACTGCATTACAGCCTGAACAGAGAGAGACCCTGTCTCTAAAAATAAGAAGAAAGAAAATTTAAAAAAAAAAACTATTTAAAAAATTAAAATTACAAACAGAATATTTGCATAATATTTGAGACATTAGACCCCTGCCCTGAGCAGTGGCTGACGCCCATAATCCCAGCACTTTAGGAGGCCAAGGTGGGTGGATCACCTGAGGTCAGGAGTTGAAGACCAGCATGGCCGACATGGTGAAACCTGGTCTCTATTAAAAATACAAAAAATTAGCTGGGCATGGTGGCGGGCGCCCGTAATCCCAGCTACTCAGGAGGCTGAGGCAGTAGAATTACTTGAATCCAGGAAGTGGAGGTTCCAGTGAGACAAGATTGCACCATTGTACTCCAGCCTAGGCAACAACAGCAAAACTCCATCTCAACACACACAGACACAGACACATACACACACACACATTAGCCCACATACAATGAAAGAGGCCCCAGATCAAATTATCTGTTTTCTTAGCATGCTAGTATTTGATAAGTGGAGATTTTTGAATTAATAAATAAAACTGAATACAACCATCTGTGGACCATTTCAGTTTGAGAATAGCCTAATCAAAACATTCTATTAGTTTTTCTATCAATTTGTAGATATAAGTGAAGATGTTCAGCAGAATACACTTAAAGTCTAAAAATATGAGAGAAATTATGAGAATAGGAAAGTTGGACATAGTGCTACACCATCCTGTTTCCCTTTTCCACTCAGAATATCATCATCTATTCTCTTCATACACCCTCTTCCCTTCTTAACCCAAAGAGTTGCAAGGCAGGATCTGGAAGGTAGAGGGATCTTAAAGAGTACAGGTATTTGACCTCAGACATTTTCTTTCTTTATTTTTTCTTTTGAGACAAGGTCTCCCTCTGTTGCCCAGGCTGGAGTGTAGTGGCATGATAACGGCTTACTGAAACCTCAACCTCCCAGGCTCAAGTGATTCTTCTACATCAGCCTACTGAGTAGCTGAGACTACAGGTACACACCACCTTGCCTGGCTACTTTATTTTTTTAAGAGATGAGGTCTCACTATGTTGCGCAGGCTGGTGTTGAACTTCTCAGCTCAAGTGATCGCCCACCCCAGCCCCCCAAAGTGCTGGGATTACAGGCATGAGCTACCATACCTGGGTTGACCTCATCCATTTTTAAGCCTGGTCATAGACCTATTCAGAGAAGCTCCTTTGTGATATGGTTTCAAGGTTGTGGCAGATGCTACTGGCTTTCCCTTGCTAGGAAAACCTCCATTTTTCTCAAGTGTCAATGTGCCCAACCCTAGAGGATAAATCGTGATTGGCGTCCATCAACTCCTTACTGCTAGAGATGGCAGAATGACCAAGTTCTGGACAATGCGATGTAAGCGGCGTTTGCCGAGGGCTCTGGGAAAGAATCCTCCCAGACAAAGCAGGAAAGGCCTGTGAGTCCAGCCCTTTGACTTTCCTTCCTTTCCCTGAACACTGTTATGTGAGAATGTGATACTTGCTGCTACAGCAGACCTTCAGGAATTATGATGGGGAAGACAAGCCGGTCAGAGAGACAGACTAGGTGACCAGGCAGTGCTGAGCTGCTGACCCTCACCCAAAAATGCCCACCTCTAGACTTTCTGTTATGTGAGTAATTAAGTAACATTCTTGGCTAAACTACTGTTAGGTTTTATGTTGTTGTTGTTGTTATTTGTAAGAAAAATCACCCTAACTGATAGAAGGCTCTTCCACAAAGAGTTTTTCCCTCCTGCTTTTCTCTGCTCCCTCTACAGCCCCATAATACCTAGTAAAATATGGCCAAACATGATGCTACACATTTAGAACCACAGGATGTCAGAGCTGAAAGTCACTCCACATTTCCAATTCTAAGATGATAAAATAGGAAATTTAGAAGTGATTCCTCTTGTTTAAGAGGCTGACCGTTGCCTAGTGCAAATGCCAATGGAAAAAGGAAAAGACACATCACTCATGTGAACTATGGTTTGAATGATTCTCCTAAGATTGTTTTCTAGGGACAGGTTTGTCTGTGGACAGAGAACATGAGGCTAGCAACTGGAGGTAAAGGAGGCCCTGTAAGAAGGGCAAAATGTATAAAAAACAGAATCTGGGACTGGGTGTGGTGGCTCGTGCCTGTAATCTCAGCACTTGGGGAGGCTGAGGTGGGAGGATTGCTTGAGCCTGCGAAGTGAAGTCTGCAGTAAGCTGTGATTGCACCACTGCAATCCAGCCTGGGTGACATAGAAAGATGCTGCCTCAAAAAAGAAAGAAACAGAGGGAGGGAGGGAGGCAGAGAGAAAGAGAGAGAGAAAGGAAGGAGGGAGGGAAGGAGGGAATGAGGGAAGGAAGGAAGGGAAGGAAGGAAGGAAGGAAGGAAGGAAGGAAGGAAGGAAGGAAGGAAGGAAGGAAGGAAAGATTGATCTGGGGCTCCATTATCAGTTTGTTCTTCAATTTTTCCTAAAGCCAGGTCTGAGGTAAATTCCACAATAATCATGTGAATATTGCCAAACTCCTTTCCAGAAATGTGCAGTGAGCATTCCCTCTAGAAGGCCTGAGTGTTCTGGCTTCACCACACAAGGTTGACAGTCCCTGCTTTGGCCTCCAGAGGCTCTGTGAATTAATGAGGGGGAGGCCACTAGGTTTCTAAAACTTCTTGGAAGACAATTTTAAAGAAACAAAGAACTAAAATAATACTATTAGGATTATTTCAAATAATACTATTAGGATAATTTCAAAAGCTTTAATTATTTTCTGAACTTCTGTCAATCCAGTTCTTCCATGTCCATATAGTTGCAATCTGACTTCCATTCATTTGAGTTTCTGGTTTACAAGTTTTTCTTGAAATTTTGAAAATTCCTTACCCTGTTTTTTTTCCTGTAAACTTTTATAAATGCCAAGATTATTTTGATCAGAGAGACTATATTCTTTTAATTATAAGAGCAATACATGTTTACATTTGTGTTTGCCTGCCACATTGCATATCCCTAACTCTATTTAGCAAAGTGCATAAAACCTAGTAGATGGTCAATAAATATTTGTGAAACGAAGATATGAAGGAATGTAAGCAACTTGGAGATACAAAAAAGAAAAAAACTCTCTCTTCTATACATTAACTTGTAGACAGCCAAATCTTGTTCCACAAACATGTCTTCTATACATATATATTTCATTTATTTATTTAGAAACAGGAGTTACCTTGGATGGAGTACAGTGGCACAATCATAACTTACTGCAACCTCAAACTCTTGGGCTTAAGCAATCTTCTCACCTCAGTCTCTTGAGTAGCTAGGACCACAGGCATGTGACACTGTGTTCAGCTAATTAAAAAAATTTTTTTGTAGAGACATGGTCTCTCATGTTGCCCAGGCTAGTCTTGAACTCCTGGCCTCAAGTGATCCTTCTGTCTTGGCTTCCCAAAGTGCTGGGATTACAGGCATGAGTCACTATTCCTAACCCCTTATATATATATTTTAAGTTGTCCATTTTCTTTCCTGTAAAAGAAGATTATCGTTGTTTCCTGAAAATGTATTTTTTGTAGAAAATTTTAATTGTATTATTCTCTACTATAACATGGAGTAGAGGCGTGTAAACTGCCTCCACATGTGTACATGTGTGATAAAAACAAACTAAGTGCTCTAATTCCCACCACAAGTTTCTCTACTCTGCTGTAGTAGACAGTCTAAGACGTTTGATAGAGTTTTATAATTTAACCACAATGGATTTTTACAATTTAACTTAAAAAACTGATGTAACTAAAGTAAGTAAATAATAAATGTGCCCCTTTATTTGCTATGACATGTGGTAAATGTAAGATGTGATGTATCTTGTTTGCTCACTAGAAGAGTGATTTATGGACTGATTTCCCAAGAGTGTCTCACGGTCTGTTGGAATTATGTATACATCTTGGAATGTAAATGAGGGGACTATCAATGAAACTTCCTGGAAATGTCCTCATTAACAATATAATTTAGCAAATATGATATTGATGTTCCT